CTTAGCTTGGCTACCCTGTGGAGCATGAGTGTGAGCTGATGGAGAGCAGGGTTCAGAGTATATCTGCGTTCTTCCCAGGAAGGAACAGAGGAACCAGCAAATAGGAGGTCTTCCATAACTGTTGAATACAATGGAGGACATAAAGGATGGGAGGAGGAAGAAGAAAGAATGATAAGAAAGAAAATGAGGGGGGCACCTGGGTGGCTCAGTTGGTTAAGCGACTTCCTTCGGCTCAGGTCATGATCCTGGAGTCCCAAGATTGAGTCCCGCATCGGGCTCCCTGCTCGGCAGGGAGTCTGCTTCTCCCTCTGACCCTCCTCCCTCTCATGCTCTCTGTCTCTCATTCTCTCTCTCTCAAATAAATAAATAAAAATCTTTAAAAAAAAAAAAAAGAAAGAAAATGAGGAACATTCACTTTTACCTGGAATGTGAGGCCCAGGTTGGCCTGGAGGGACCTACAGATATGCTGTGTTACTAAACCAGGCCCTCAGGCTCCATGGCAATGTCCAGACCCCAATATGACCCAAAGGGTGGAACTTGGGCCTGCCAGTCTCTCTCCTTCCACCCTGAACCCTTTCCCCACTTTTATACATTGGCCATATTTCAGGGTTCTGTCTAAGATTTTGTTAGATAAGATATTAGTGGGTAAAATGACTTCCAGATTCTTTTTCAGGTTTATCTAGAAAGATAGGAGTTCACTTGATTTGACTCTGTCTTCCTGGTTTTGCTATTTGAAAGTCCTCTACTTAAACACAGAATGGGCTGCGAAAAAGAGTTCACAAGTTATTCTGTTTGATAGGTTCAAAGCGACAATAATTAAGCAATCACTGAGCAATGTCAAAGTGACGTAGCCACCTGCCACATCAGCATCTCAGCTCTATGTGACCGGTGACTTTGTCCGTTTTGTTTCCCATTGCATCCACAGGGCCCGCAACAGTGCCTGGCATATAGGAACCACTCAGTAAATGCACGAACGCACTGATATGTCTGTGATGGGCAGATGTGACATACTTTCACTTGGACAGTTAGCTAGCTTTGTTGGTGTTTATAAACTGTCTAAGTTGAAAGTTCACAGATGAAATCTCCTCTATTTTATGGTGCCTTGCCTTTTCACATATCATATATCTGTATCGTTTCACTAGTTTGACATGTATCATTTTTATTTTCATTCAGTTCTAAGCAGGTCTCAGTTTCAATTATGATTTGTTTGGAATCATGAGTAATTTAGAAGTATGCTCTCAATTTTAATCAAATATATATTTTAAGATTTTATTTATTTGACACACACACACACACACAGAGTGCACAAGCAGGGGGCAGTGGGAGAGGGAGAAGCAGGCTCCCCACCAAGCAGGGAGCCCGACGCGAGACTCGATCCCAGGACCCTGGGATCATGCCCTGAGCTGAAGGTAGACACTTAACCAACTGAGCCACCCAGGCGCCCCTTAATCAAATATATTTTTTAAAAGTCTTATTACTGCTTATTTAATTATACTGTGTTCAGAGATATATATATAATATATATATATAATTATATATATATATAATTCTTTGAAACATACCGAGATTTACTTTATGGTCCAAAACATGGCTACTTATGATAAATGTCTCATGTGAGCTTGAGAAGGATGTATATTCTCTGTTAGGTACAAGGTTCTTTAATTGCCCAATAAATCAGGATTTTTAACTGTGTAGCTCAAATCTTCCATATTTTTAATCCACTTTCTTATGGATACCTTTTAATAGTTCTGGAAAATTCCCATTCACTATAAAGATGCTTCACTTCCAATTTTCTCTATTATCCCCTTCTGACAGTCTAATTAGACACATCCCAATATCTTAACTTCTCTCAGTTTTTCTCGTTTTCCTTGTGTGCTGGGTTTTGGATAATTTCTTCAGCTATCTCTTCTAATTCTCTCTTTAGCTGGGTCTAATTTACTGCTTAATGTATTCATTTAATTTATAATTTCAACAATTATATTTTTCACTTCAAAAAGTACTGTTTGATCTAAACAGGTCTATTCGCCTTTGAGAATCTCTTGTTCCTCCATCCTTTTAATTCTCTTTTATTTCTTACACATAATAAAAAATATTCATGTTTTATATCTGATGAGTCTAATACCTGAAGTCTTTGCGATTTAATTCTACAGTTTCTGCCCTTTCTCATGGTGGCTTATTTCCCCATGTATTTAGGGATTACCAAATGAGAACTCATTTTTCTTGAAACTTCACCTAAAGAATTCATTGAAGTCTTTCTTGTTTTTGAGTATTCTTCTAGATTAGATTTCTGTTTATTTCTGCCAGGTGCCTGGTACATTTTCATGTTTTTTCTATTTCTGTCCCACACATATAAATTTCAGCCCCCCAAATAATATGAGCACAAGCTTGAAATGAGAAATTCTCAGGGGCAACATGTCTCTCTTATTTTACCTAAAGCCAAGGATAAAACATATAACAATGTTTTATTAACATCTCTATCATGTTCTCCTATGGATATTTTTAAACTTGTTATTCACTGAGGATATCGCTTTTCCTGGATCCTGACTTTTGGCAAGCATCTTTTGTCTTTCTTGGGGTTGGGACCCAAATTCCCACTCATAGTCTTTTAATAGAATTGTTATACACATGGTTTGCATGACTTGGATTTAGACCTAATGTCCCAGTGTCACTAAAAACAGCATTCCTTTGTTTGAATTATATAGTAAATTATATAGTTTTTTAGTAAATTATTTTTAGGCCAGGCCTCTAGCTCCTAAGGATCAGCAAATAGCCAGCAAATGTCAGATCCAGTTGCTTTTTCTTATCCTTCTAGATCCATACTTTATCATCATTTCTGGTCTCTGCTTACTTCATTTACTTTATGGACTGATCGACTATGCTTTCAAATCCTTAAAACAAATTTTTATCCAGTACTTTTTGGTGTTCTATACAGGGTTGATTTTATTTTCCGCACCTTTAAACTTTTAGTTCATGACAGTCTTGGAAATATTCCTGAGTATATCATATATTTTCCTCATGTCTAAGAAATACGCGACATAGCGAAGGAGCTGCATAAAAGTTGATTGAAAGAATGAATGATGGAGGTACTTCTGTTTTAAACACTTTCTAATATTTTGTAATGCAGTAAAACAAAACAAAACAAAAAAAAGTTCGTTCTTTTTGACTATGTGATTTCACTCCTGGAAAGCTGTGCATTTTAGACTGTTCATTACAACACAGTTTATATTTGTGAAAATTTGACAACAACTAAAGTAACAAGAATGGCTCGGTAACAGAAGAGTACAAAATTCTATGTGTGTTATGACTATAAATAACAGGCAACACACATATGTGGACATGGCCAGAAGCTACTTGGAAAAGATGGATTTATTCGGAAAGCAAGGTTTGGGTTCCTTTTTCCTTTTAAAACTTTCAAATGATTGTTATTGCATGGGCTTATGGGCAATGGCTATACATTTTAAATGACATCAACTCCCTATGGTTGCACGTGTCTACTTCCTGTGTGATATAGCCAGAGAGGGAAACACACTTGCTGTCCGACAGGCCTGGGTTCAAGTCCTTCTTCTGTCACTTTCCAGCTGAGGTCAGTTCCTCACTTCTCCCATTGTAGGTAGGAAATTCTGACACACCCTTTAATTCTGGGCTCAGCCAACAGGATATTAGCAGCAAGGACTCAAGCTTTCCTTGCAAGCACTAAAAATTCTTCTCCCACCTCTGCTTTGCCATGAGAACGAGCCGGACTGGCCTGCTCAGGGGACATGGGAAACACCGGAGGAGGGCCAAGATGTCCTAGCCACCAGCCATCGGATCCAAAGCTGACCACAGACACTTGGTCAAGCCAGTGAAAATCAGATGGCCGGCCGGTCCACCTGCAGACTCCTCAGCTAAATAAATGGTTGTTGATTTAAGCCACTGTTAGAACAGCTTGTTCTGCAACATTAACTATGGCAGCAGATAACTTGTACATGCTGTCTTCTTCACTGTGGGGGGTGGGGCCCAAAGGCTCCCCATCCAGGCCATCAAATGTGGGGTCTCCCGATCGGAGGGGGGGTGGGGCGGCAGCTAGGGACGCAGGCAGTGAAAGGACTCACCCGAGGCGGAACAAAGGAGATAGTTTACTGAATACACGGCAAGGGAGTGGCGGGCAGGACGCAGAACAGAGGCTGTGCTGTCTGCCAGGAGGCAGTGGTGGGGGCTCTAGTTAAGGGGGAAGGTGAGGAGGTACAGGGAGTTCTGGAATTTTCCTTCTTTGGTACCTGTGTCCGGGTGTCAGGAACCCATTGGTCAGCTAGGGCTTACAGATATTTTGAGGTGGGTCACCTAATGGGCCTGCTTGTATTCAGCCAGGGGGGTCACTGTGGGCCCTTCTACCTTCTTCGGGTTTCCATGGTTCAAGCTGGCTGCTTCTGGCCCCTACCGCTATCTCTGGTACCTAGAGACCGATGACGAAGGCTTTTCTGTCACTGTCACTGCTGCGTGAGGTGGAATGAGACATCTGGTGCCTCCCCACACTCTCCACCATGGCCACCACGGCACCTGGCAGGCGTGTTGACCCTCCTTCCCTCACCTGGGTCTCTCCTCTGGCTGCGAACAACTTGAACATAGGAAGGAAGTTATTCTATCTATGACACCTGGCACAGGGTAGTCCCTCAATAAATGTTTTTGTTTGAATTAAATGACTGGATTTGGGGAGCTGATATGAACCAAAACAGCCGGCAGCAGGTGGCAAGAAGAATCACCAGGCAAGCTGGTTCTTAGGCAGGGAGGGAGGCCTTATGTTTTCCAGAAAGCAAACAAGAGGGGGAAAAAAAACAAAGGAGAAAAGCACATTCTTTCTGCTCTTCTACAACCTTATCTCTCTCACCACACTGCACACAAAGCTCAGAACCATTCATCCCCCTGAAGAGCCCTCCCTAGCCGGCCCCCTGTGCCACGGCGGGACATGCCTCTCCCCCTCCGCGGGGCTGCCCCACACCCACCGCAGCCTGGCCTTCCTCTACCTTCAGATCAGACACGTCCCTGTAGCATTGCTCAGAGCGGGTGTGGTCCGACAGCTGCACGTTCCAGAAGCAGGGGAGCTGATACACGAGGAAGGGGTTCTGTTTGATGACGGCATTGAAAATATCCTGGGAGAGAAAAGCCAGACACGGTCAAAACAGCTGGGTTTCACCTATGATGCCAACTCTCGAGGCACAGAGCTCTTCCTGGGCAAGGGCCTCCCTCGAGCCCCCTGCTTGCGACACAGGCTGGCTTGCACTGCGGGGCATTCCCATCTCCAGAACCAAGCAGTTGTGTTTGGACAGAGATGGGAGAACGTCCCACGCTGACTTGACGCTCATGGGCTCTACTGGTCCCCAGAAGGCGCCATCAGGGAAGCGGATGTGGGAGCAGACAGGGAGTGTCTTTCCCACCTGAGCTGGCAGATGTTAAATGAAGTCACTTTTCTGCCTCTCTTCCCACCTCATCGAGGCGTCATCCATCCCAAGCCTCCAGGAGAGGAAACTGCATGATGACAAGTGGCTCCACTCATTCAGGGGCTGAGACAAATTACAGCGCTGTTTCAGCAGCGCTTCCTGGGGCTTTTGGCGGACTCGATGATGGATGCGCCTTGTTTTCCTGCAGGCCACGGTGCCCACTCGGCCATGCGCACTCACCACCTCCAAATCCGACTGTGACTTTTCTAGGGAGGCTTCCCTTCTTTCGGGCTTTTCTCCAAGCTTTTGCTGCACCAGGCCATACTTATTAACTAGCTGCTGACAGGTGGTGCCGGGAGGTGAATTATGTGCCTTCACAGGAGGAGATGCCCGGATAAAGTATCCTCCTTGGACACAGACATGCAATTGCTAGCTTTTGGGGACACACTTGAGTCATTGTGACCTGACTTAAAAAATGATGATGGAGGACAATTTTCCCTTCAGGTTTAAAACAGCTATCTGGGTAATTTTTAACTCATTCATTATACCAGATCTCATGTTTGAAAAAAGGAAATTAGTTTCTGGCTGCTTGGGAAATACTGAATAATAACCATGCTTAAAAAAAAATTGCAAAGTAACCCTATAGAGTTTCTTGCTTCCTCTGTATTAGAAAACTTGGCAAAAACACAATGAATCAGACCACTGAACTTGGAGCAAAAACATATGGGAGTGGGCTTGCTTTTTGGGTGAACAGGAAAGGAGAAAAATGCAGAGGACCCAGAGAAGTCTTGTCTCCATTTCAACACGGCCAGCTATACCACAGGGAGCTCAAAGTCTAAAAGTGTGACCCTGGTAGAGCCAAGGTCAAAGGCTCGGGCACCTGCACTTCCCAGCAAAAAATGAGACATGGGATTTTGATGAATTTATGTTAATGGCTTTGGTGGAGTGCATAGGCTTTTTCAGATTGCCTGGATTAGAAGCCGGTTATTCCAGCCAGGCAGTTTGTCCCTTCTATTTAAATGCATTTCCCTTGAGGATAAGGTCATGGCACAGGTTCTCAAGAAAAGGTGCTGCTCTAAAAGTGAGAAAAGCAAACTGAAATCCTGTCTGGGAAATAGGCTGTGGTTTTCTGGGGTCACAAGGAGCAGGACCTACGCACCCCATACCCAGATGGAGACAGCGACCTCCCATTAGCACATCGGATTGTCATTTTCTTATCGGTCTGCTTCAATAAACTATGAGCTCTCTGAGGCCAAGGACTGCATCTTTCATTCATCTCTGCAATCCTAGTTCTGAACATCGTCCCTGGCACACAGTGTGGGCAGTGAAAGGCTGCTGAACGCACAGATGAATTCACAACCAAGTTCCACTGTTGTCTCAGACAGGCAAGCCTAAGGCAGATCGATCCCAGAGCACAGTCACACAGTCAGTGGAAAAATCATCCAGACCCATATACTTCCAGGCTTCTTTGAGAAACAGTGCAAGGGTACTCAGGAATAACTACCGTCTAGCCTGGCTACTCACCTGGTCAGCTAAGGAGGTGGAAAGCATGCCCATCAGCTCCCTCTCTGCAGTCAGCCTCCACATCTGCTCCCATTTCATCTTCCGTAGTTTATCCAGAAGCAGCAGGATCACTCCTGGGTAACAGCAGAGGAGGGAGGAGGGAAAAGCAACAGTGAGACGCAGAGCCAGGCACACACCTGTCCACGGTTTGGAGACAAACACACATGGGTTCCATCCCAGGCTCTGCCAGGGACACATTCTCTCTGAAACGTCCTCACTGTATGGGGAATGTTACAACAGCTTCAAAGGCTGTTGCGAACACTACACGAGATGGGCAAACAGCCTAGCACTTTCTGGAGATAGGATGGTGGGGATGGTTGTGCAACCTCGTGAACGTACTTAATGCTTCCAAACTGTACACTTAAAGATGGTTAAAAGGTTACCCCAAAGATACAAATGTAGGGATCCGAAGGGGTACGTGCACCCCGATGTTTATAGCAGCAATGTCCACAATAGCCAAACTGTGGAAAGAGCCAAGATGTCCATCGACAGATGAATGGATAAAGAGGATGTGGTGTATATATACAATGGAATATTATGCAGCCATCAAAAGAATGAGATCTTGCCATTTGCAACGACGTGGATGGAACTGGAGGGTGTTATGCTGAGCGAAATAAGTCAATCAGAGAAAGACATGTATCATATGACCTCACTGATATGAGGAATTCTTAATCTCAGGAAACAAACTGAGGGTTGCTGGAGTGGGGGTGGGGTGGGAGGGATGCGGTGGCTGGGAGATAGACATTGGGGAGGGTATGTGCTATGGTGAGCGCTGCGAATTGTGCAAGACTGTTGGATCACAGATCTGTACCTCTGAAACAAATAATGCAATATATGTTAAGAAAAAAAAAGAAGAAGAAGGTAGCAGGAGGGGAAGAATGAAGGGGGGGAATCAGAGGGAGAGATGAACCATGAGAGACGATGGACTCTGAAAAACAGACTGAGGGTTCTAGAGGGGAGGGGGGGGTGGGAGGATGGGTTAGCCTGGTGATGGGTACTGGGGAGGGCACATTCTGCATGGAGCACTGGGTGTTATACGCAAACAATGAATCATGGAACACTACATCAAAAACTAATGATGTAATGTATGGTGATTAACATAACAATAAAATGTTTTTTAAAAAAAGATGGTTAAAAAGGTACATTTATGCCATGCATATTTTACCACACTCATTTTTAAAAGAGCCTAATATTGCACCTGATATGTACTACATTCCCTATAAGCATTAGGTTCTTCCCTGTTTTTTTTTTTTCCCCCAGAAATATGACAACCAACCAGGTTTAGCTGATGGAAGGTGTTTGCACAATCTGCGCCGTTTATCTTTATAGATAAAAAGCGGCTCCCCTGCAATTTTATTCTAGGTAAGTCTGGCCAATTGGCTTTGCATTTATTGACAAGAAGTAGGAGCTTGATGCAGTGTCCCTGATTTCCAAGGTCTTCTCTGGTCCCCACAGCCAACACGGATGTAAACTACAGTGAAGGCAGTGCTGACGCTGGTCTTGAAGATGAGCTCCATTTTTGTTTTGTTTTGTTAGTTTTCATGGGGAGGGACCTGGGTCCATGGGGGACTGTGTAGCGAGAGAAACTGTCACTGTACACCCTTCTGTTATTTTTTTAAAATGTAAAAAAACAAAAAAACCCAAAATTTATTACTCAGGCAAAAATTAACTAGTGAGAGTCTAAAAAGAAAAGCAGATTTTGGCTTTGCTGGATGACTCAGAAGCATGTCCACTCCCAGGTCAGTTGGAGCATGCACAGAATGCCCAGAGCAGGGAACATGAGCAGCCAAGAGAATTTCCCTGCAGGCCACTGCAGTTAATTTGGGGGATGGAATTGTAGCACCCATGGGCCCCCAAATAAATCCTGCTCAGGATGCTTAGTGGAGAAAGTGGAGAAAACTCCAGGAAGCTGACGAATGATCTTAGTTGATACCTAGTACATACGTCGCTAACATTTTCGGAAAGAACCCGATTCCCCAAATCACACATAAATGTCAACTCTGAGACTTTTTTAAACCCAATTCCAGTGGCACATATTTGGAGTAAAAATAAAGTCACCGTCTCATCCAAGGTGTTTGGTCTGGTAAAGCTGAAATAAAAAAATATACATGGTAATGGTAAGCATGGGGTAAAATACACGGATCTGAACTCCTAAGTCAATCGTAAGTCAAAAGGTCAAATTACCTCTTTTGCACGCCTCCTTTGTGGTGTGCTAGGTTTTGCACACGTCTTTTCACTTAACGCTCACAAGATCATTACAGGCTAGATGTCGTCATCCTTATTTTACAGGTGGGGAAACTGAGGGGCTAAGTCAGACACTCGAACAGTTCACAGTATCAGAGAGGCTATAGCAGATTCGAACTCAGATCTGCCTGGTTCCAAAGCCAGTGCATCTTCATCTACACCACACAGACCGGGGCCCCAGCACTGGAGCCCTGTGACTCAGGGCTTGCCCTGTGCAACTCAGAAAGTGGTTATGCCCCCTAGTGGTAGGCTAGCGAAGGTTTGACCACAAGCTCTCCAAGGGAAAAAACTGAGACTTGATTGGTAGCACTTGCTGATTCCCATGGTGGAAATACTCCCAACATGGCTGATTTCAAGCTACCAATGTGATGTCACCGGACACCCAGTTGGGAAGAAATGCGCACAGTCGACAGCCCCCAACCCCCGCCCCCCGAGTCAGTGCAAATTGCTCTAGCACACCACTGAAAGTGTTCATGGAAGCAGTTTTAGAAATAGTGAAATTCACCATAAGCATAGTACTTGCTTCTTTTGGGGAGAAAGAAAAGAAAAATCTACAAAGTTGCAAACCAAGAGAAAACAGAGACAGATTCAAAAAATCGATTCCAGTCACACATGTAAAAGAATGTCCTTAAATCTTACTGCAGAAACTAAATCTAATTAGGTTGGAGAGATGCTCTCATATACAGAGAAAATGGGGAGGGGTGGAAGCCATAAATAGTGATGGAAGATATTAATGCACATTTTGACGTCTCTAGAGGTGTCGCTAGATCTATCAGTCTCAGGGGACTGAACTGAGAATTGATGCTTTTAAATGGTGTTAAGACTTGGCAAGTCCTCTGTGGCCGATGGGATCCCACCCTGTGTGCCAGACTTGTTGAAATAGAGGCGGGTGTCTAGAACAGAAGCCTAAATGCAGAAATGTGGGGTTATTCTCCTGGTTCCCCAGCCTTTTCCGTTGTTTGATGTTAATTTTTAAAAGCATGAACTCTTTCAAACCAACAGAAAAGTCTTGAAACTAAAATGACAAACACCCACCACCCCAGTTTCATAAATGCGAGTAATGTATTGCCACATTTGCTGTGAGTAATACAACATGATGGATAAATCAAAAGCTCCTTCATCTTACTCGGGCTCTCCCTTTCCCAAGGATAACCACTACCCCGAGGGGGCTGGGTTTCACTTCCACGCATGCGTTCATAGTTTTATTCTCTATGCATGTATTAATCAACAATCTATGGGGCTTTGTCTCAGAGTGCCTACCTTCCATTCTCACTTCCCCTTTCACCCAATGTTATGTCTTTTAAGACTTAAAAGCATGTGAAAATTTCAGTATCTAGTCTATTCTTTGCCATCACTTCACTCATTGTATAAACAGACCACACGTTATTTATGTATTTCCCGAATGAATGACATTTTGGCTGCTTCCTATGTTTCTCCTATTATAAGCAATGCTGCAATACACATCTTAACCCCGATTTGTTGGGCACACGTCTGAGAGCTTAGCTGGGGTGGTCCAGCCTCCAAAGCTGTACAAGGGTTACTGTGTTGAGGGTGCCGCTTGCCCCGAAACATCTCGAACTTCCCCATCTTCCTCCTCTCTTACATTCAGACCATCATGGGTCCTATGGATTCTACATGTAAATCGGCTTTTGCACCTCTTCCTTTCCTGACTCATTCAGTAGTTATTTATTGGGCATCTATGTGGTGCAAACAACTGAAATAGACTTGTGCGTGTTATTTGTCTCTACCTTTCCCAATTTCATGGGTTTCATTCAAAATATTAATTCAACATATATTAACTGGATGGAGAACATTCAGTCTTGGCCAGGCCCATCTGTGGAAGACACGCAAACCATCATAATTCAAGTGGACACTAAGGATGTGCCCTGCTTATTAAGAGAATGCAGGAGCGAGACCTCAGTCAGCCAGGATCCAGGGTGAGGATCAGGCCAGGCAGACAAGGTGGGGACGTCTGTAGAGACATAGACAAAGGCAGAGCGGCAGGACGGGGCATGCAGGAACTGGGGTGTGTGATGGTGGGCTGGCTTAAATAGAGTGCTTTGGGGCAAATGTCAGGAGGTGACCCCAAGCAAGTGAGCAGGGAATGCGTCAGGAAGGGCTCGTACCTGTGCAAAAGAGATGCTTTCCAAGCATTTTTGTGTCATTTCTTACACAGAAAATGATATCCTTCTAACTTGCTTGTGGCTGGAAGGGCTGATTCAGGGGTCTGGCTGCCCCACGCCCCATTCACAGCTGAAGGGATCGCTATTTTGGTACATCTGTCACCCACGTGTGCCACACTGGATGGAAAGTCCTGCTCAGGGCACCTGGGAGCTGGTGAAGGATTTGAGCAAGGAGTGACCACAACTGAATCTGTTTCGGAAAAGCCAACCTAAAATGTTGCTCTATCAGGTCACTTCACAGGCTCAGAGGCCTCGCGTATCTTAGGTAGTCTAAAGAACAAGCTGTAATTCCTTAGCTGGGCACACCAAGCCCATCTTGCCACGATTTACCGTTTTTCCTTCCAACAGACTATTCCTTCCAGCAAAACTGGCAAGATGGCACTTTGCCACTTAACTACCTCTTTCTTTGCAAACTTGACAAGCCCACATGCAGTTTTAGAATGTTTGCTAAATGTACTACTGTCCATTCCCTGATTCAATCAGAATCCAAAACAAAACAAAACAAATTCATGTTAACAAAGCTTATGAACTCCACTGTCAGCTTCTGTATTCAAGAGCTTCCATGTTTATCCTCTTCTGACTCCACAACATCCTTAGAAAGGAGACAGGCTGGTCATTACTATCACTTTTGGACAGATGTGGGAAGT